ATGACGTACGATTTTGCAGCTAGAATATATATTTGTCGATAGCTTTTTCGGAAACTTAGATATTTAAAAAGAAATCTGTAAACAGTATTTACCAAACAAAAATAATTTTGCACAACTTTTCTCCATATCAATACATTTATATTGGTAAATCCAATGCGAAATAAATTAATTTATATACAAAGTGCTGCCAGTTCAGTATGACACAGCTTTCTTTATTTTTAGGTACTCTTTTGAAAAGAGATCGTGTTTACCTTCTTAGAAGCTGGATGCGGGAAAATGTAATTTTTTAAAAAAACTATTAGAGTAGCAATGGTTAGATAGAAAGTAACCTTAGCATTTTAAATCAATGAAATCAACAAAATATACACGAAATTTATTTTATCGTAACTGGGTCATCAATCATTAAAATCAATTCAAAATTACAAGTTTAATCATTCTATAAAACTGTCTTTTTAATTTAATCTCTTAACATTTTCAACAACAAAATAAAGGCCTGATGAAAGTTAAATGGGTCGACTTGTAACGTTTAATTTTGCGGAAAGATCCAATTTCTTCTTGTACGGGAAAAAAAGATTCCAGATTATGATGGAAAATTCATTTATTTCACACCAAGCAGAGTACTCGACATCGTTCTTCCACCTGATCCAGTTACGAAATACCAAAAGAACTGCAGCTGCGCCGTACTTAAATTTAGCGGAAAGATAAAGTACTTCGAAGTTCACGCGAAATCCATAAAAGCAACGAAAAACATTTTAATACAATTTAATATATACTTTAGTATTTTTTAAATATCATAAAACTTTTATGACAGTAATACGAAAGCATTCAGTGGCATTGAATATAAAAAAGTTAATATAGTATAAGAAAGTATAACTATAAATGTTAAGGACTGTTTTCCTAAAAATTACGTAAAGTAAATAGATTTCTTTAATTTTTAAAACTTTTCTCCTTCAATAATATTTTTTAGTTTTAAAATGTTTCCTAATTCAATATTTGTTTTAATTTTCAAAACCTTTTCTCACACTGAAAATTTTTCTTCATAAGTTAAAAAAACTCTGAGAGTTTACATTCAACAACAATTAAGAATTTACATTCGATAGGTCTAGAAAGGAACGTATAGAGCAAGGTGATGTATTTCAATTCTCCCACACATTGAAAAGACAAATATCTTCTTCATATCATTATTTGTGATCGTGTAGCAACATCTCGTAATCGGTGTCGGTGTGGTGCATTTAATTATGGCAAAGCACACGAGGGCTATCTGCCTAAGGGGAGGGATGCCTTCGTGGAGGACTTTCTAAGGGAAACTGGCTCGTATACACGTTACACATGGGGAAAACCACGAAAACACCCATGCAGCCAGCCCGTTCGCGGGATTCGAACCTCAGACCGAACTACCAGTGTTCAGCGACTTTACCGCTCGGCCGCCGGTGGGCCCGTAATCGGTGTCAGGAAATTGGATGTTTTCTGTATAGCTCCATGTATGCAGATGCGTGATGCAATAACGTCTGCAACTCCATGGACTCCAAGCAAAACAATCATTTTTAGGCTTCCTTTGACGTTACAGCACAGAAATCGACGCCTATAACGATGTTTTCAAAGACGGGAAATTGCATCCGTGTGAGGGAGTATAGGGAGAGTCGAAGTTTGTCTTTATCATCCAGCACTTAAATTGATGATACAGAATGTCATTTGATACACAACTCATTCAACTCCAACCCATATATCTAGTACTTTTACCATTCATAGTTACATTACGAAGGTTTCAATGGTTACGTCAGATCTTTAAGGCCACTGATGCTCACCTCTCTATAGGACAGTATACTAGAGTGCATGTTGCTAACGCTGTCCTACATTTACTCAGTACACAGAATATTCGACTTCTGTCTTGGTCGGCCAGTTAAAATGAAAGTAACTGGCCAATGGTTTGCAGAAAGATTCGTATGACAACACCATTCAATCAGGCGATCGATGAACTCTGGCTTAGAACTGATCTTGCATGGTCTGCAATACCCGTAACTGCCGTCCAAATCCTATCAACTTCATCCCCAGCTCTGAAACAGTTGCTATTGTTGCCAAACTCGGATGCTTGTGGTACTTATTTGTGAGCGTTCTCTACCTCAGAATTATCTGAACTTTTATATCATCATCATCAACTTTTCATCCTACTTGTTTGAAAAATACTCGTAAATATGATTCTGCTAATTGCTTTTTTCCATGGCATAGTAGATTTAATAACAAACGGTTCATTTTTAGAGTTCTTCAAAGTAAAAGCTGATTAAAAATGAAATATGAATTACAGGAAAATCATTAAGAGAGATCATTTAGAGAAAATCATTTCATGATTTCTACAACGTTTTAGGAAACACCTGTATAGTAACCGAAATCATGTATTTCGAAGACGATATAATATTATAGTATTTCTGGAGACTTAATATATTGTAGTTCTTCGATTAAGATAAGCTTATAGAGGCATTAGATATTTTTAAAGCAGGAAAAATGAAAAATGAGCAATACCCTCGCCGGGAGTCGAACCACGGGCCTCTCGAGTACGCACCGAGGGTACTGATCACTACATCACGAAGACATGCTAAGAATGCGGGAGAAGTACCTTATATACTCCCCCTTTTAAAGGGCAATTGGGGTTTAGGGGACCCAATCGCCAAATTTTGGTGGTGGAGAATCATCATCCACCACCTTTTTTAGTTTGGGCGCCACGGTAGTGTCATTAAGTATTTTTGAAGCAGGAAAGGTGAAAAATGAGCAATGCCCTTGCCGGAACTCGAACTACGGATCTCTCGAATACGCGCCGAGCATGCTGACCACTGTACCACGAAGGCTGGAGAATGGCGGAAGAAATACCTCATAAGCTTATTGATTTTAACCTCACTAGCAGAGAAAAAGTATCCAATTCCAAGAAAAGGAAATGCATATAATAAAATACTAACACGCATTTAGCAAATAGATTTTAATAATTGGTTTTGTCTTATAAACAATAATAATATTCTTTTTTAAAGTATCAACTTGAGGAATACTATTCTTTCAGTACAACCAAGAGAAATCTGCATTTCAAAAACGACATCGATTCTAAGGCGGTGTACTACGATGTTTGAAAACTTTTATGGGAGGGTAATGCACTAAGAGGCATTTGAGGTATTTCTGATTCTCTATATCCATTCGAAGGATCGAATTCCTTTACAGACAAGCATTCATTCCGAAAGTTCGAAAATAAAACAGATAAATAGACTTAGCATCTACTGGAACATAGCAGTTAGTTGTCAGTAAATAAATCTTAGATTTCTATTAAGCTAAATGTCTATTTTACAATCAGAGTTTTGTATTACTAAACAACTAATTACTAATGCATGCATTTTTAGATACAAAACTCCTGTGAGAAAATTACTATAGTGGAACAAAAATGTACTATTAATCTACTTAATGTACCTAAAAATTTTCTATGTAACCTTAATTGTCTCCACTTACTAAAAGCAAAATGATGTATCTAAAACACATCTCTCTAATTCGAAAAAGTTTCTTATATCGTTTACTATTTTTGATCTAGAACACATTCCAGACTTTTCTTATCAGCATGAATTATTGACATCCATAATCATGAATATAGAATGCTGAAATCATGCAGTCATTCATGTATGCATTTTTTTTCATCCTAAAGGAAATTAAAGTTAAAACTTTTAAACTAGATTCTCATAATAGTATAAGTTTATTAATTAGCTTAAATTTCCTCGGGTACTTTTTTATAATGCAGAATTTTATTTTAAACTTTAAAATGTATTAATAATTTTTCAACTTTTTACTTCAAACTACACTTCTCTTCATTCATTAAAAGAAGAAAAAATATGACAAGTCTGAACCCTAAATGGTTGTATGAAAGAGCGCAAATAAAAGGCCTTTCTAGAAAAATGTAAAATATGTTATTAAAATATAAAAGAGTATCTTCTTTTAAAATGTGTACCACTTATCATCTAGAGGAAAAAAATTGCTATGGGTGGAAAAAAAAACGAATATCTCGAGAATTTTTGGCGAATTTAAAATACATCAAAATGTGTGAGAAAATTGCAGCAATATATAAAAAAACTAGTTTTGCTTTTGTTGTTGTTGTGGCTAATCTCACTTGTCTGACTTAATCAGAAGAAGCCCACGAATTCTATTATCGCAAGGACTGCAAGTTTGCATCTGTCGTTGGCATAAGCTTTGAGCACCATATAAGAGACAGTACGACTTTTCTTTAATTGATATAACGACTTTTTTGTTTTAACGTACGACTTTTCTTTAATTGATTTTCTAGCTTTTATGAATGAAAAAATTATATAAAACAGGTGAATAATAGAAATAAACCATAATTCAGTGCATTTTAAAGTAAAATATTACATTGTGAGTTTTAAAGTTTTGAAATAAAGAGAAAATAGAGATTGAAAACTACTTTACATATTTCAGTTTCTTTGCTTGCTTTTTTAAAATGATATATGTCATAAAATTATAGCATATTTCGGAAGTGATAAAAACATAAGATACCTTGAATATATAGTCAATGTATGATACAGTCGTATGTTTGAAACCTTATTCATTCTTCTTAAAGTAATTCCTTAATAAAAATTTTAAAAAAACCTGTGTGTAAAGATCATATTAAACAATTATGTTACTTATTAACCGTTAGTGTTAGTATTAACACATGTTAAAAAAATGCTTTAAAGAATTAAAAAGCAATTAGATAATTTTGTGTTTTATGCAAACATAATTCTACAATACGCCTTCTAAAATGATAGTCAAATACATTTATTCATTAAAAGCGTACCTGTAGTAAATATGCTAAAATTTAAAATACGCTTAAAAAATAGTATAATGCCAGCCATATAAAAACATGCTGAATCAATTAATGAGATTTACAATAAGAATTGTAATTATCTTATACATTTAATTAAAAATAATAAACATAACTGCAATCGTTAATTGAAAACTAAAGAAACTATTCTGAAACTTACCGTTGCAGAGTCTTGTTTGAGGTCAACCCATAAATCTCCGGTGCACATTTCATTACCTAAAGAGTTCGTTAGACCAGAATCTTTGATGCAATATGTTACTTGCCCAATTAAGCATTTTCGCGAGAATCGATCGTAGTCCCAAATGCTTATTTTAAGTTTTTTGTCATTGAGATCCTCCCTCCGAACACTAAAAGTGAAAGTTTCATTGAACACTGGGTTCATAGTATTGCGTTGAACTTTGCTCATATACTTAGTTGTTCGATCAGGTAGTAGAACCAGCTTAGCACAAGGATTGGCTGTTGTTTTTAGAAAAAGGCACGGTAAACCCGTAGCTCCAATAAGCTTGACAGTTAATTGGTTCCTCAATAAATTATAGCGCAGTGAAAATCCTACTTTGCCTAAATCTCCGAGAAAAGAACCTTTCTCCGAAGCTTCATTCACTCCTACATATAGCCCACGCTGGAGATCTTCTGGATTTATATGAAAGCCTGCCATAGTACGTTTCCGTCTGTTATCCAGTATAATTGGTAAAGTCTTTGTTCCGCTTGAAGAATAATCAGTCTCTGATACTGAATCTTCAGTGTTTTCACTGACAATAATAGTTGTCGGCACAACAAATTGGATCGGTTGGTTTGCTCTAACGCCAGCCATCCTAGGATCGGATACTTTAGGTGTGATAGTAGCCAACTGATTTTCTCTTTTTTTTCTTTTCGCCATGCAGCGACAGAGAAAATAAAGAAATGCCGTCGTCATTACAAAAAGAACAACAGCTATAATGATAATTGCATATATAGGAAAGTTTTCGGTCGGTGGAGCTTGAGTAGGAAGTACTTCTATTGTCACATTATGTCCTGGAGTAGATTTAGTGTCAAAATCGTCATCGCTGATATTAGGGAGACCATTGATACTGCTTAGTACATATGATGAAGCTCTTGATGCCGATGTTCTTGCATGAGCAACAGCATGTGCTGACACGGCATATGATCTGCTGATACTTTCCACATTGGCGGAATTAATTCTTTGAGCTGAATTCAATGCAGTGGATAAATCTCGCGAATCACCTTCTTTTGAGGAAACTGGTAACGGAACCATCGGTATTGCTATGAATAAAATAATCAACCTGGAGATATCACACTGAAATTTAAATACTTCATCCTCAGAAGAAATATAAGAAAAGATTTTTATGAGCAATAGTAAAACAATAATACTTTGAAAGACTTTTTCCTAAATTATGCTAGTGAAGGGAAAAGACGTATAAATATATCTTTAGAAAGAAATGTCCTTTATATAACAATTTATAAACTCACAAGAATTTCAAGAAGAAATTTTCACACTTCAGTCTTACTCTTCACAAACATGCAGAATGGCTAAATTTTTTAACGTTTGAGCAACAGTATGCAGCTCTTGTGATGCTGCATTTCGATAAATAAATAATGAATTCTTTACAGACACCTGCCGCATGTGACACTTCCCACCACCATGAAAAAGATATTAACCGAATTAATCTCCTGAAATGAGAGAATGATCTAAATATCTCTTTCTCAAGGACTTCTGAATTCAATCTCGTTGCGAACGTGAAATAAAATGCGCTGGTTGCTGTGAGGATCTTCTTCCACAGGTGTATTGACTGTCACGTGACACAAGTATAAATTCGCTTTTATCTTATCTCATTTTACTCATTTTACCTATGGTCCACTAGGCCGTGACGTAAGCTGAGTGTCGTATACAGATGTTGACATTCCCAACACAGCTGGACAAACGCTGTGTTTGTATAGTGGCTGCCGCAGCGTCAGATTTATCGCCCTTTAAATATACCAATTCCATTTTACCAAACACATATCTTACATTTTTAACGTATCATAGTTTCTCAATCTGGAAAAATAAATTAAAGTTTCGAGTATATTTTGTTTTGAAATTGAACATGAACGGCTAAAATTATTTCAGAAAAATTTGCTTACATAAATAATTTTTGCGTTCCCATCTCCTATGCTAAACGTTCTTGCTTGCTTTCTCCTTACATTTATATTTCATAAAATTATTTGGCTGCTTGCAAAATTTGTTTATACTAATATGTGCTAAGAGAAAAATTTTAAAACTTCCAATCACAGAGAAGTGAATGGCTAAGACTGTTGAGTACTGGTAGTTCGACTTGGCTTCGAATCGTGGTGAGCGAGCTGAATATAGGGGTATGTTCATGATATTTCTCAGTTGTAAGTTTTATTTAGAATGCAGCTCTTCCTTCTGACAGATCATTTTTACTACTTTGCTGCATTTTATTTAAAGGAATAAAAACTGAAATTAATAACTATAATATTTCACCATTTCCATGTCACTAGTATCTCAAAAACATCAAGTTTTTTTTTCCTTTTGATTTGAGATGACTATCGTAATAAGCTGCATATAGGAAAAAGGTATGTGTTAATGATTAGAAAACGTCAGATACATTTATTAACATGATTTGGCAGTTTTGGTTTTGCAAACGATATTCTTATTACTTATGTGAGCAGTCGTCCGTCTTAAATATTCCAATTAATTACATAAACACCAGGAATTACATAAGCAAGCATCTATGAATTAATTATTTTTTATTACTTAAAGATTTTTCATTAAATTTTCTTTTAAAAATCTTCACTTCGTTTCAAAATTAAAATTGCTTGTCTGTCTCCAAGTAAATTCTCATTTTATTGAGCATTAAAATTATATTTTTTTAAATAAAAATTACATTTCTTTCGCGTCGCATTGGGGCAGGTTATATCTTAGTGAATGGTTTCCTATTTAAATTCCTAAACTTTTCTTTTAATTTTGATGTTTGAACTTGAAAAATTAATTAATTTTCAAATGATTGATTACTTCTGTAGTTCATACAGATAAAATTCAGGAACGTACCTCTGTTGGCAATTCTTCTGACTGCTTCTTGACAAAGATCAAGGAATAATCATTTTTTGTTAATTTATTTTATTTTTCTGTTTTTTTATTAATTTACTTCTGTTTTAGATGAATTTTTAAGTTTTTGCTCCATGTCATATTTTTTTAATTATACCTTCCCTTTTTTTTTATGTTGTTTTTTGATTTTGTGTTTATGATGTTGTGTTTATTTTTTTTTGTGTGTGTTTATGTTTTTTGATGTTGTGTTTATTTTTTTTTGTGTGTGTTTATGTTTTTTGATGTTGTGTTTATGTTGTTGTTTTTTGATTTATTCCTAATTCATATTATGTTATTAAGATACAATAACACGCCGAACAGATACGAATTCAGAAGTCAAACAACAAAAAATCAGCGTTATATTTTCAAATTTTCACAGCAATTGAATTTGAAAATGTAACGTTGATTTTTGTTGTTTGACTTCTGAATTCATATTATGTTGCTTACCACTTTTTTTAAATATATACATAATATATATATATATATATAGATATATATATATAGTCTGTATAACTCGTAAGATGACGTGAGGATTAGTAAAACAGCTGCGTGGGTACTTAAGATGGCAGAATGATGAAGAAAAGCTTTCAGACGTGGCCGTTGATTTAAAAACATAATTTTATTTTGTAACAGAGCAAGTATACTTATAAAATGATTTACACAGCATCATTTATGAGTCCGCTATGCAGAGCACAGTTTTATACAGCTTGCATCTCTTCCGACAATGGCGAAGCGAAGCACAAAATAGGGCTGCGCATTAAAAACAGCGATATTTAAAGACTTGGTCCGTTTGTTTAAATTTTCAGCATTGCGACTAGATGAGAGTCATCCGCAATGTACATGGTGGGTTACAAATGGTTACATTTGAAAGCATAAACGAATTAATTTGGAAAGACGCAGTCCAGAAAAATTATTATAAACAAACTTGAACAGAAACGGGGTAAACAAACTGAAATGGGGAGTAAAATGGACTATTGCCAGATTAAAGTTAAGAATTTGCTTTCATATTTTATCTCTCTCTCTCTTCCTCACACACACACACACACACATATACATACAGTGTCTCAAAAAAGTGATTGGAAACTTGTGCTTTACAAAAGGAAACTGCAATAAAATAAATTAAAAAAGCATGTAAAATTTTTTGTGGGTGTGTTTCATACTTAAATTTAGTAACAATTATTACATAACATACATTTTTTCCAAATATTAAAATATTAATTTAATAAAAATACCATTGTTTAGAACGGAGCAGAAAATGGCCCACTTAAGTGATGGGACACTTACTTTTCCATCAAATATTTATGCAAAAATTTTACTTTTTAAAAGGTTTTAATATTTTGTTGGATTTCCGTTTACTTTTAAAACATGATTTAATCTTCTTGGGATGGATTCGACTAATTTTTTTGTGATTTCTGGAGTGATTTTACCCCGTTCTTCTTGAAGCACCGATTTTAATTGTTGTTTGAAGAAATGGCGTGTTTGCGAAATTCTTGATTCCAATTCTTGCCAAATATTCTCCATGGGATTTTTAATTGTGGAGATTGTGGGGGGTTTTTTTATTATTTCAGGACAGTTATACAGCAGCCAGAGTCTAACGTTCAAAGCACTGTGCTTGGGGTCATTGTCCTGGTAGAATTTAAAATCGTTATGAAGGTTCAATTTTCGTGCTGAAGATTTCAAATTTTTTGATTTAAAATGTCAATATACTTGTACTGATCCATTTTACTGTCAATAAAAACCAAGATTACCAACTCCAGCGGACGACATACACCCCCATACCATAACTCCTCCTCCACCATGTTTTACTGCTGGCACCAAGTTCTGTTTGCGAAATTCTTTCCTGGGTTTTCTCCACACCAAGATTCTACCGTCAGAACCAAATATATTAAATTTACTCTCATCAGCAAATATAACTTCATTCCAGTAATCAGAATTCTTATTTATGTTAGATTTTGCGAAAGCCAGTCTGAGTTTTCTATTCTTTTCACTTACGAAGAATTTTTTCCTGGCTGCTCTACCGTGATATCCAGTAAATCGAATTACTCTTCTAATAGTCTCAGAATTAACAATTACTCCATATAATGCTTGTAAATCAGCAGCAACTTTAGGAGCACTCATTCTTGGATTTTTTTTAAATATTTCGAACAATAATTCGCTTTATTCCATTGGATAGCTTTGATGGTCGGCCAGGTCTTCTTTTATCCTGAATCATATGATTCTTTTTATATCGTTTAATGATATTGAAAACTGTTGAATGACTCAGGTTAACTGTTTCAGTAGTTTCTCTAATAGATTTTCCACGTTCAATATGCAAATTAATAACTAATTTTCGAATTCCAGGCAAAGTTTCTTTTCGTTTAGCATTCATGGCTGCACAGAGCTAAAAAACACAAAAATTCCAAAACAAACTGGAGAGAAATACTGCAGACGATTTTATAAATTATTGGCAATTGCTTTTGAGTAAAAATAATTACCCCAAAAGATATTTTTATTGCTTACTTCAGACGATTTTTGTTGCATAGTACGTAGTGTCCCATGACTTAAGTGAGCCATTTTCTGCTTCGTTCTAAACAATTGTATTCTTATTAAATTAATATTTTAATATTTTGAGAAAATGTATGTTATGTAATAATTGTTACTAAATTTAAGAATGAAACACACCACAAAAAATTTTACATGTTTTGTAAATTTATTTTATTGCAGTTTCCTTTTGTAAAGCAAAAGTGTACCATCACTTTTTTGAGACACTGTATATATAATATATATATATATGCTGTGGTAGTTTTTGCGGAAGATGAAAACCAGCTCGCTCTTTAAATATGGCCGAGAAGACTATTATCGTTTCTACACTGTAAAAAAAAATCTGTAAAGTTACTAAGAAAAGTCGTGGAAACTGGGATGTCATGGATTATTTGAGTAATCAAAACAGGAATATTCTTAGTAACTTTACAGAGATTATACCTTTAATGGTTACAGATGTTTGACAAGTAATGTTACAGGAAGTTATTCTGTAGGCATAACAAAAGTTTTTGTATGTTGATTACCGAAGCATATGTCTGTAAAGGTTACAGATCAAAGATCTGTAATGTTACAGGAAATTATCGTGTAAGTATAACATGTTTTTCATATGTGATTACTAATGTATACCAATGTAAAGGTTACAGATATTTGATCTGTAAAGATTACAGGAAATAATAGTGTAAGTAGATCGTATTTTTTTGTCTGAATATGAATTACTAAAGGGAATATTTGTAGATTACTAGTGTTCTGCTTGTAAGGTTATTGCAAGTGATTATGTAAGAACATGTATTTTCATGTGTAAATTTTAAAGGATATATATGTAAAAGTTGCAGATAATTTACTTAAAAGTTCTTCCAAATAATTATGCATATAGAACATATTTGTCTTATACAAAATACAAAAATGATGTATTCTCAAATATTAAATATTTTGATTGTAATATTACTATAAATAATTACACATGTAGAACATATGTTTTATGTGAAATGTCTACAGCTACTGCTTGTAACAAAATATGCTGCATTTATTTATTTGTGGGGAAAGGGAAGTTATGTAACTTTAAATATTATTAAGTTTTTTTAAGGAAAAATACCTTAGATTTTCTAAAAGATATACAACATTTTCTTTCAAAATATTCCCAATGTTAAAAAGAAGCTCAAATTTTATGTTTTTCTTACATCTGCATT